TAAACAAAAAACAAAAAATCGACTATGTTGGATGAGTCAAGTAAAGGATAGAATTGTTCCAAGGCATTTACTTGTTTGCTTCTCCTACCTTAGATCCAAGGGATGAGGGAGTAACATTGATGAAATGGGCCCCAGCTTCGGTAGCCAGAGCCTTTGCTATAAGGGTTTTTCCAGTTCCAGGGGGACCAAAAAGCAGCATCCCTTTGCAAGGCTGAAACAAAAATATCGTGAGCTTTACATTCAGAAAGGTTTCTTTTTATATTAAGAATAAGAATAATTTAAAAAAGGAGTACAAGTATCTTGTAATTTTAAAAGTATCAGTTTGAAGGTGGTAATTAATAATTGTTAAAAGATTACAAACCACGAGCTTTTTCTAAGACCTTAAGGGTAATAAAGACATGCAACTTGTTTAGTAATCATCCTACACTTCCAAAGTTGATATTTGTACTTGAACCGTCGATACTAACCCGAAGCAAGTTCCCACGGGAGAAAAGCTCAGGCCTCTTCAATGGAAGAATGACAGTTTCATTCAACGCCTTTTTCACTACGTCAAGGGCACCGACATCATCAAACTTGACACCAATATCATCCGGAGATATTACACAAGAAAGAAAGCTTTTCTCATACTGCCCACTGGCAAGCTCCTGCAGTATTTTTTAAAATTCTTTTATTAAGGACATGGATAAAAGTTTTGGAAATTTGACCTGTATGTGTTCACATAATGATAGGAGAATAGATAACCATAGGAGACTTAGAAAACTTGTTTTCGGATTCCTTCAATCTCAAAATGGCGTGTTCAAAGCTGCACAGAATGACAATTGACACCTCAAACAAGATATTAAAAACTTTTCAATTTTCTAGCAATGGTCAAGAAAAACAGACAATTAACCTTGATCTAGGCATATGCAACTGGCCGTTCTTAACAGAAGGAGCATGGCATGATGAGAGGTGATGATTCGTCGCCCAAGCAACAATCTTATCCACATCTGTAGCCCACAAAACAATAACAATAATATAATAATTTTGTACAAGGATAATGAAAAATGGCCCAATTGAAATTTTATGTTTTTAGATAAAAATTACACCAGCCGTTCTCTTTTTTATTTCTATAAATCTTCAGATATTTTGCATCCAACAAATAAAGATTTGCCCTTCCGTTCCATTTTAGATATGCATGATCAGTTCATGACTCCCGATTTTAAATGTTAAATAACAAGCTTGTAGTTTAAGTTGAAACACTGAGTTCATATAAAAATATGTTTACTATAAATATAAATATTGATACGTGTACCATCAAGTTTTTTAAAACTTAGAATCCTAATCACCCTCAAACTTTAAAAAAAAAAATAGATTTCACGTATTTATAATTTAAGTTCAACTTCTATAATTTATAGAAAAATAAGTTCTTTGGTTGAAAAATTGATTTAAATTGAACTTTTACAAAACATTCCATAGCATTTTAGTTGATGAAAGCTTATCATATGAACATTTTTTAAGAATAAATAAAAAAATTTAAAATATGTGATTACATAAAAAAAGTGTAAAAAATCAACAATAAAAAATGTAACAATCCAACTAATAAATAATCGATTTTATAAATCACTAAATCGTTTTACAATTAAGAGACCGAAATAGTAAATCATTATAATAAATTTCAAAAGCTTATCCAAAAATTTAAAATATAAGGATTGTTAGTTATTTTTCAATAAATAAATAATATTATTAATTTAAATAAAAATAGCATAGGAAATAAATTTTAATTAGTAATATATTGTAAATATTTGTACATTTCTATACATATTTTATAGTATTTTTTTTGTAAATATTAGTAATATATTGTAAATATTTTGTAAATATTAGTAATATATTGTAAATATTTAGTATTTTTTTTTTTATATTTATTGATTTTTAGTAATTTTTAATTATAATTATATTGGAAAGATTTTTTGTATTTTTATACATAGTTTATAGTATTTATGTATATATACATATTGATTTTTTTTTTTTATGAGGGGGGCCGGTGCCCCATGTGGCTCCGTCATTGGTTATGTGTGTACATTTGTACATGCGTCACATATTAGCAATTCTTGCCTTGTCTATTCAATTTCAGACCATTGGAGTGTACAAGCTCCAGGTCCTTGCATGCCAAATCATGCTCCTTGAGAACCTGAAAAGAATAATATGTTTCAAAATCAACTCAGAAACAAATTGATCTCTAACAAAATTCTGATAAATGTACCTTCTGCATTGCACTTATATTTCTTCTAGAAATCATCTTTTTCTCATCTTTTAGAATCTGTGAACCCAATTTCTTCACGAGATTTTTGTCCTGCAATCATAAGACTATATAGTCACCTCTTTTTTTTATAATTCATAATCATGTGTATTCTTTTTTATGTTTCTCTGTTCATATGTGATAGAATTAGCTGGATAACAACAAATATTACCTAGAAATCCACAGTAGATTGACAACAATTCCAAGATTCTTTATCCACAGAACAATAACAGCAAGGAAACACATAATTTTCTTAAAATATGAGATCGGTAAAAGAACAACTACCTTTGGGGGTACTATACTTATAATGTTGGGAAATAGCTTGCGCACTTCCTCCTCTTCTTCTCGTCTACGCCAATCCTCATTTACATCCTCATTTACATCGTTCAACTGAAGAAAAAAGTAAAAGGTAAATATCATGATATCACATCGACAATGTAATAAGACATGGGCCAAGTTGTGTGGACTTGTAATAGAAAAACAATAGATACATGGCAGCATAATTAACATAACCAGAATGTAAATCAAAGTTTAACATATCTGACTTTTGTTTATATCAGCCATTAAAGCAGCTTAAGAATGTAATATAAGGATAATTTCAACTCTGAGGTTTAACCTAATAACAAAGGATCAGTCACCTCTCAAATTACAGTAGTCCCTTAAATAGTTACAAACAGCATCACTGTATTACCTTACACATCTGTAAATAGAAACACTTGTCAAGTGGGTGCTTGGGTCTTTGGATGATAGTAGAAACACATGCCAAGTGGGTTTTGGGTCTTTGGATGATAGCAGGGATCTTTTGTAATTGGGCTAAACTTAAGGGTAGTTATTGTTAATAACCTAAAATAAGTAAAAATGGAAAGTAGAGAGAAAAACATCAACAGATAATATAAATATTGTACACATAATTAACAAACTACTGGTAAGAATAAAAAATAGAGAGCAAAACGCAGCACACACACTCAAGTTCTTCTGGTGATGCTAGTGATCGAAAAATAATGGCACATAGAGTAGCATGTATGGGGATGTGAAATTTGAACTAGCCAATTGAAAATTCCTTCAGTTACGTGTCATTATGTCCTATGTTCTAAGATTCAAATGAAAGAGATTTAGCGGTATTCTTAAAACTTACAATGAGCTCAAGTTCCTTTGATCCAGGCACTGATTTGTTTTGTCCGTAAATCAAAACCTTACGTTCTGATAATTGGTCAAACATCTCTTTCACCTTCCCAAAAAACTCCTTACGGGCTCTATAGTAGCTCCAGTAAGATCTCTCTGGCAACCAGCTAAAAGAGTCCGGAAAATAGACCATTATAGATGGATGAGACTCCAGAACCTGCCAATATCATGGTGAAAGCCTAAGAATGAAACTCATATTGAAAAGTTTCAAGTTGTATTAGTCAATACATATAAAACATGTACCTCAAAGAGCACATCCATAGCAAGGTAACAATCATGAGTTTGAGCATCTGTATCACGTTGGATGTGCTTTGCTGCAAAAGAGTGCAAAGCTAAGGTACAGAATTGGGATTTCATGCTTGTGGAAAAGAATATTTCCTCCAAGATGAGGCAAACAGTGTTGATTAAATAAAACGGGTACCAGCAAGCCAATGAACTGGTGGTTCTGAGCTTTTCCCATCACTTTCACCATTTTCATAGAAAATAACGGCTACTCTGTCACCTTTAACTTCACGCACCTCCCCTCGTTGGCCTTTAGACAGTGTCCTAAGGGAAAAAAAAAAAAAAAAAAA